GTATTAATTATTATTTTAAAATTTGTTATTAAATTATTTATTAGTTTTAATTTTTCTATAAATATTTGTTTATATATCATATATAATTTGTGATCTTTTGAGTTAACCTAAAAAAAAAAAAAATCTCTAAACACACAAATTACCGACCCTGATCATAAATTAAAAAAAGGATAATGTGCGGACTAATTTTTACTTTCTCGAAGTTAAAAAATACAATCTATTGTAATTTAATGATTTTCGTCGAAATATGCTATTCTACTATTTCTTTTTATTTATTTATTTAGTTGAGTAACCAAAAAGACAAAAGTCTAACTTGATTTTGATGAACGATGACGCAAAGAGAAAATTGAAGGAGCCGACCAAAACGGAGGAAAGAAATTGGTCTTTCTTGCCTCTTTCTCTCAAGTCGTGTTGCTTACTCATAGTACAGAATAAATCCCTGTTCTTTTAGTCCTTCATTTTCTCTCTCTTTACTGCGTTTTTGTAGGTGAGATCCTCAACCGAGACTCTTCCAGATTGTGTTTCACCTGATTCTGTTCAATTACGTTTTCATCATTTGTTTAAAATTTTTAACGAGTTAGTACTTGGGTTTTGTGGGTTTGAATCGTATCGTAAGTTAAGGCAAAGATTGGTGCTTTATGCCAATTAGATGATTGTTAATGCTTTCTGTCTTCTGGGGTTTGTAGTATGTAATCTGGGGTTGATATATTTTCAATGAATGTAGTGGGTTTATATTAGTCGTTTTGCATATTCATATTCATTAACTTTTTCTTCTTTTTTTGGTTGGTGAATTTTGATGATTTTGGGCTTAACATATGTGTATGTCTTCTAATTCTTATGGGGTTCATATATTTTTATTGGATGTAATGGTTTTGTGTAGAATCAAGATTTGGAGCTAAATTTGTGACAGTTAGCTTGATAATTTGACCTCTAGTGAGTTCCAATACAAATTTACTTCTCTTTGTTTGATTTTATGATTGATTATTGAACAGAATAACGAGGGGCTGTGGACTTAGGATAAGGGGCAGAAAACTTACCACCCCCTCACCCTCCCCCCCAGCAGCAAAAAGGATAAGGTGCAGATAGTCTCATGGCTAATAATGCAACAGCTTGTGCTGAGAGGGCAACGAGTGATATGTTGATTAGTCCAGACTGGGCTATAAACATGGAGTTATGTGATATTCTCAACATGGATCCTGGGTATTATTCTATTTATTTCTTAAGTTTTGGCTTGCATTTTGTTGTGTTGTTTTTAATGTGAGAAGCTATTGATTTTATGGCACCTGGTAATGGAATTAGTTTTAGTTTATTTATTTGGAATGAGTACTATTATTGTTAGAGTTGAGTGATTTTTTAACTTGATGCTAGGCAGATTTGCCAACTTGGAAAAACTTGATGAAGAATTTTATGTAAGTTAATTATTGAGCTTTTGTGTTTTGCAGGCAAGCGAAGGATGCCTTGAAGGTTCTCAAGAAGCGGCTAGGTAGTAAAAATCCAAAGATACAGCTCCTCACTCTTTTTGTGAGTACATGTTTTATTCTCTGCTTGAGATGTAAAAGATATATGCTTATTTAGGTATCTTATTTCAATTTATAATTGTTACTGTGCAGTAACAATACGTATGGCTGGTGTTCTTTTATTTTTTACTTTTTAATTGTATGGTCTTAACTCACTTACATGGTCCCTCTTGGCATTTTTTACTTACTGTCTAGTTGTTTTGTTAAGGCTATGATAACAGAGAAGCATCTATTTATGAATATTTTTTTCTTATGCTGGGCTATATCCAGGTATTGGAAGCTCTCAGCAAAAATTGTGGTGAGAATGTCTTTAAGCAGATTGCAGAGCGTGATATCTTACGTGAAATGGTTAAAATAGTAAAGAAGAAGGTGCTTGATCCTTTACCTGATCTCATGATCTGTGAATTGTTATGTACTTTCATGGTCAGTTCTCTCTCTAATTTGTTGTATCCTTAATCATTATTGTTTAATTCTGCAGCCTGACTTGAATGTGAGGGAAAAGATACTTATTTTGATAGACACATGGCAAGAAGCTTTTGGGGGACCCAGGGGAAGGTATCCTCAATATTATGCTGCATATAATGAACTGCTGGTAACTTCTTTTCAGTCCCTTTCTTTTCCATTTTTTTTTTTCTTTTGTTTCTTTAGATAAGTATCCATGTCTCATTGAGTATGCATTGAGGTCTAATAATAAATTAGCGTGCGTGTGAGTATATGTCTAGTGTTTATCAAATTTTCAGTCTCCTTTCACTCTTCATTCTATGAATGTCTAATTCTTTAAATTTAATTTCATTCTGTTCCTTCAGTCTGCTGGAGTTGAATTTCCACCCCGAGAAGAGAACACTGTACCATTGTTCACACCACCCCAGACCCATCCCATAGTTCAGCCTATTTCACCTTATGAGGATGCTGCTATTCAGGCCTCTCTACAGTCTGATGTCTCTGCTTTCAGGTACTTCCAAAACCAGCTCCTCTCCGAGTTTCATGATCTATCACATGTATGTGTTAGACAAAAGTCAGGGATATTTTACTTGTAGAAGACCAAAATGTCATGCCTTTGCTGAAAATTTTTAGTGTGCATACTTGTTACCATCACAATTTCCGAAATAGAGGTGAATTTTTAGTGTGTGTTCTTGTCATTTAATCTGCTTTAAGATTCAGCTGTGATATGCTAGGTGGTTGTTTCCTGCCACTTAAGGGATCGATGATAGTCAAAATGGGTTTGAACTATCTTTTAACTGAACTTTGCTGAATCTTGTAATGATTGATTTTTTTTTTTTTTTTTCTGATCTTGGTTGCACAATGGGAGGCAACCATCTCCCATCCCTTATCTCACCCCACCTGCATGCCATGCAACGTGAACTCAGTATCTCTTACTTCCAGCAGAAGGAGATGACCACTGAGCTGCAAAGGTCGTTGGCGTAATGTTTGATATTTAAACCTTACAAAACCACTGTAAAACTATCCCGCTTAAGGGATTGATGATGGTCAGAATGGGTTTGAACCATCCTTTAACTTGACTTTGCTGAATTTTGTAATGCTTGTTATTTAAACCTTACAAAACCACTGAAAAACCACTTTGTTCCAGCTACCCTATTGATGCACTCTCACCATCTTTGTGCACTAATATTCATGCTGCTCATGATAGGCTTCCCAGCTACACCTGTTCTATATTTTCTTCTATCACAGCTTCTGTAGATATTAAAATCTTTTTTTCTATTTTCAGCTTGGAAGAGATTCAAAGTGCTCATGGACTAGCAGATGTGTTAATGGAAATGCTTGGTGCCTTGGATCCCAAAAATCCTGAGGTAGTATTGCAGTTCTCTTTTATGCAATGATCATGTTTGCTGTGTCTTGAATGCTGTTGTTGCCAGTTACCTGCTTTCTGATTAATATACAATTATTTGGGGTGTAAATGCAGTGCTTTTGCTTTTCATTGCTTCTGAACTTGTGTTAGTTCTAATCCATTGAATCGATGCCTGCTAAATGATTCCTTTTTCATGTTGTCTCATTAGTTCTCAATTCTGTGGCAGGCTGTGAAGCAAGAAGTGGTTGTTGAACTTGTTGACCAATGTCATTCTTACCAGAAGCGTGTTATGCTTCTTGTGAATGATACAGCGTAAGAAATTGTCACTTTTCTTTTGATGATTTTCTATTATGAGATGAGATAATTCTGACGATGGTGTTCTCTTTTCAGAGACGAGGCACTTTTATCTCAGGGATTAGCATTGAATGATAACTTGCAGCGTGTCCTTAAACGGCATGATGACATTATGAAAGGAAACACAACAACCACAGGAGCCGTGGCCACTCCTTTTGTACCACTTGTTAATGTTAATCATGAGGATGATGAATCAGAAGATGAATTTGCTCAGCTGTCTCACAGGTGACTATCTTACCTGGTTTCCACCCCAACATTACTCCTTCCAACTGCATTCCTTTTCCATTTTGATGTTTATTACCAATTGACTGTAGATATTTCAGTATGCCAATTTACTTAGGACATGAAAAAGGATATATACACAGGCTTTGTTTAGGTGTTTTTAAGGAGTAACATTAGAAGTTACTAACAAGAGCATAGCTGACTTTGCATCTACTAACTCTGAAACCTTAATTTGGAGTGTAAGTTAGGGGTTCAGACCTCTGCAACAGCTAAGTGCACTAACTTCCTAAACTACCAAAAAAATACTCTTTTTTCTCTTTTAACACTAAATCTTCAACTAACTGTGGCCTTTCTTTTTCTTTCTGTTTTTTTTTTTTTTTTTTTTTT